CTAAGGACTCCTCAGAGCTGTTCATGCCCTCAAGTGTCCTGAGATCTCCAAGAATTCCCCAAATGTATTTGAAAACATATTCTTTTATTTACAGAGAATCTTGAGAGATTAATGTTCTGTGAAATGCACTTGGCATTTTAAATATGCTTTTTTTCCTCTTAATGATGGAGTGGCCCATCTTGAAGGAATGCACTGACTGGCAGGAGCAAGAAACCCTGCAGAGGCAGCCCTTCAGCAGGCCCAGCAAAGCTCAGGATGAGGTAGCCCATCTTATTACCACCATCACCAACACAGTTCATAAGCATAAAGCATAATATTTATAGAATATTTTAAAATATGCTTTGCCTTATTTTACCTTTCAAAAAAACAAAATGAACACTCAGGGATTATTCTTATTTCACAGATAAGGAAACTGAGGCTTGGAGGAGAGAGGTATGGTTGTGGGTTCAAGGGCACACAGCTAGAAAGGGTAAGGTGATCCAAACCCGAGCAGGCAATATGGAATCCTCTCCTGGTCTCCTTACACCACACTGCTGCCTGTTGGGGTTCCAACTACACAACTGCTTCAGGGTGAACACCAAGGCATCTTACATCTGACCTTAATCAGAGGAGTCAACAGTGGAAGTGCACTTTTGCGTGGCATGACGTGCCACAGGCAATCTGGCAGTTGAGACAGCATTTAGAGAAAGCAGCAAGCATGAGGAACAGAGGGAGACTGGCACTAATCAAAATTCTGGTATAATAATTTGAGGTGACTGTATCTTGTGGTTTCTTATTTGGTGTGTCTCTGAACTCCGTTAAGTATACAACTTATTTATACACATATTTATAGCACTGCATGCTCGGGATGTTTTTTAATAAGGGACTCAAAAAGCACAACTTTCACTAATAATAAAGAGCAGATGCTTATTTTTTTTAGCTCTTCTCAAAATAATGTAGTGCTTTTAACAAGCACTGGTTGTTTCTCATCATCTTAGAAGGATATTACTTTCTAGAGACTCTGCTTTTTATATATCCAATTGCTAGATAATTGTTTATTCCTACTTTCAACCTGATTGATTAAATGTATAACAGAATATTAGAAGAAAATCGAGGGGTAACCCAATGCTCTCTTTATTTACTCACTGGTAAATCAGGTATATTAATAGCTAATAGCAGCTGATGTTTATTAAATGCTCACTAGTGAGCACCCTTCAGGGCTCACCCTGAAGCAGTCGTGGAGTTGGAACCCCAACAGGCAGCAGTGTGGTGTAAGGAGACCAGGAGAGGATTCCATGTTGCCATGTAGTGGCACCATATAAAATGCTTTACATAATTGATCTTAATCTGTGACATTGGAAAAAAATTATTAATATGTCCATTTTACAGATAGAACTGAGGCTTAAAGAGGTTAAATGACTTGCCCACTATCATGCAGCTGAGAAATTGATCAGGCTTGGTCTTTACCACACACTCTTGCTAGAAATTGTGGCTTTTAGTTCATTGCTGCAGGCCTGGCTCAATGCCCAACATACAGCAGGGGCTTTATACAAGTTTGTCAAGTGAATACATAAACAAACAAGACCTGGATGTTTCAAACACTGGCTGGCTTCATGTAAAAGTTGTTTAACAAAGCAGCTTGCCTAAAAGCTCCAGGTGAGGCAGCCCCTCTTTCCTCAAGGATGCAAGTATGGTCTGGGGCCTGCTACACATCATTTCCACGCCTGTTTAAGTGTGATTACGGGCACTCACTCAGAAGGGCCTCGTCCAGAACACTAGACACCTGCACAGTGGCCAAAGCTCCAATGAATGGACAGTTGAAGATTCAGGGTTTTTTCCCGGGCAGTCCTCCACCTGGCTATTGCTGTGTCCTTTCCAGCCAGCTGGCCATCCTTAATCCCCTTTGACATGGAAATACTGGAGCTGCATAAGCTCTTTCTCTCTGGGGGTCTCACTGGTTCATGGCCCCAGGTGGCCCAGTGAGTGAATTCCTAAATCTGGAGTATCTGTCTCTTCTAGGGCCTCTGGAGCATCTCTTCTGCAAGAAAACACAGTAAAAGGCATCCTGAGGGACAGAAATAACTAACTAAATTTGGACTCCACTGAGCAGGCTAGGAAATGGGACTGCATGCAAAATTGAAAAGGCTGGTACCCCAGGACGAAGAAAACCACTTCTGCCAGCCTCTCTGTTGGAAAAAAGCCCCTTCCTGAGGCCCTGGGCCTGGGCAGCCCCACTCAGGCCAGACAGGGGGCCACTTTCACAAATGGTGCCTTGCTCAAGCAGTTCCTTACTAAGAAGCTCAAAGCAGTTCCTTACTTAAGGCCTCTAGGGATAAAACCCCTCTACATGGCAGCTCAGGCTCTCAATCCAACTCTCTGATTCTACTCCCTAAACCACTTCTTAACTGGCTCTACCTGAACCACCTAGTTCATAAATCTCTCCCAGACTCAGAAAAGGCCTTCCCTAACCTCACCAAGTATCCACATCCCCTTGATTTCCTTATCAAAAAGTGCCTCCAAGCACTGACACATGTGTAACTATTTTCTTGTGTAATGTCCATCTCCCCTCTAGAATGTGAGTTCCAGGAGGGAAGGGGCCATATAACCTTGGGTCACCATTACATTCTCAGGCCCTAGCACACAGAAGGCACTCAGTATTTGTTGGATGGATGAATAAATGAAAATGGAAGGGGGACAAATGTAAAATTTTAATGTAGACCCACTTTTGACAGAAAAGTAATGTTGCGTATGTATTTTGCTTAGGTACCAATGTGGAGTTAGGAATCCTCAACTCCCTTTTCTTTCCCTCTCACCCACCTATCTGCGGTTTGTCTGTGCTTCTCTACAACAGCAGAAAATGGGCCAAAGCTGTAAAGGCTGACTTACGATAAGATCCAGAGGCTAGGAAATTTATAGAATAGGGGAGTAGCAGACACACTGATTTCTGGGGCAGGGTGACCTGTCACTTTGGGGGAAGAAACTGTATGTCAGAGGGGCTTCTGGAAGGCAGAGGGGAGTGGATGGATGGTTTCCTATGGCTGGACCATCAAGTTCTGGGAGGGACGTGTTTGCAGACTGTGGAGGCTGCAAAGGAGCAGAGGATATACTTCAAGTAACCCCCAGACACTCTGCTACCTGTGAGCAGGAGCAGAGAAAACAGGTAGTGACATGGATCTTGGGTGGACAACTAACAATTAGCCTGTGGTTGGAGTACCAGGGAGAAAGGGCGTCTGGTGTGCCAGCAAAAACAAATCCAAGATGGCTGGAGGGATCCCGCCTAGACAGGAAAGTAGAGGAGGCTAGAAGGAAGGGCTGAGGGACTGGAGGTGAAAGTGAAGTGGGATAAGAGGTTCAGATAGGAGTCAGGAGGTGGCATATGTGTGTGTGGGGGGGATGATGAGCTGGGAAACGAACGTGCATGTTTGGCTCAGGCCACTCCGGGCGTGTGGTGTCCAAAGAGTTTTAAGATGGCGTATTAAGGTCAATAATTATGGAGGGATAAAAACGGAGATCTTTGCAAAAAAGGGAAAATTTTGTTATTTTCAGTATTAATCAAGTATTTCCTTAACAGGACTGCAAAGTCAGGAGCCCTAAGAGCAAACCTGAGTGGAGTACAAATTACTCGGATCCTTTGTGAGGACAGAGAAGTCTGGATTTCCAAATTCAAAACACCCAACCTTTCTGCAAATCCTCGAATCAGAAATCGGTCCTGAGTCATACAATTTTTTTTAAGCTGTCTTCTTTGGGGACAAGCGTAACTTCACGTAGCACCCAGTACAGAAAGGCCATGCCACCACGGAAGCCAGAGGTGTGGTGTGTTTGTGTGTGTGTGCAAGTGTGTAGTCAAGACGTGCATTCCCACAGCGAGGGCGGACTCAGACGCAAATGTCCAGCTCCGCCACCCTGTCGCCCGTTGAGAGGATTTGGCCGCCAACGCCTGAACCAAAAAAAAAAACAAAACACAAAAAAAATAAAAAAAAAAAAACCAAACCCATAATGAATATCCCCAAGGGCCTCTCCCACCGCCCCTCCACCCCCGCCTCCGCGCCCCGTCAGCCGAGAAAACAAGCGCTTCATTTCCCCGGAAATTAGAAGCACAAGGGAATTCATTCCATCTCGGAGGCTGAATGCATGGGGGTACTTGGACCCCCAAACCGAAAAAGAACATTCCCCCTAACCCCGTCTTGCCACTCCAGGCTCTCGACCCCTAGGCCGGTGGCCACTGTGGGCAGCGCACGGGCTGACGATCTTCCCGCGTCCTGCAGGCTCCGCGGAGCGGCTGGCGGGCCGCCGGGCCAGGTGCATCCGACCCAGCTCCGCCAGTGGCGCGCGCCTCCCGCCGCCGACCACGGGCGGCCCCGCAGACCAGATTTACCGCGGCGCAGGGTGGCGGCTTCCGGGCCCGCCCGGCGGCCAGGCTCCGATTACAGGTTCACACGGGGAGCCCGGCCCGCGGCCGCCCAGCCCCCGCTGGCCCGCCCTTGCGTGGCCCCGCTACCCCGCCTGCCCATTCTTCTCCATTCATGCGGACGCCCAGCGCCGCCGCCGCCGCCGCCGCCGCCGCCAGCGCGGCTGCCGTCGCCGCCGCCGGCCGCCCGGATTGGCTGGCGGCCGCCGCGCCGGCACTTTCCCACGGCCCGCGGCGCGTGCGGCTCACCGGCGGCGCTGCAGGCGCGGCCCTGGCGTGCGGCCAGGCCAATGGGGGCGCGCGGGGCGGGGCGGGGCCACGGCTGCCGGCGGGCTTGTGTCCCGGCTCGGCCTCTCCCGCCCGCGCCTCCTCCTTCCCCCTAGTGGAGGCCCGGCGGAGCCCCGCGGAGCCGACGCACCGCCGCGGGGCGGGGGCAGGCGCGGAGGGCGGGGGCGGTGTTCGCCCTGGGCCTTAGCCTTGCCCTCGACCCTCCCCACAGCGGCTGCCAATCCCGGAGCGAGAAGCCGGATTGGCCGAGGGGAGGCTGTTGCCCGGGAGCCACCGCCCCGCCCCTCCGCCCCCTCGCCCGCCTTCCCCACGCCCCCCACGCCCTCCTCTGGGACCTGGAAAGGGGCGCAGCGTGGGAAAGGGATGGTAGAGTTTTAACCCGAGGCAGAGCGTGAGCGGGATCAGTGTGTGCAGAACGCGAGGACTGAGCGCGGAGAGGCGCTGCTGCTGCTGCTAACTCCTCCCCGCCCGCCGCACCGACCTTACCTCGGAGCCCCCGCACAGCCACCATGAAGCGAGCCCACCCCGAGTACAGCTCCTCCGATAGCGAGCTCGACGAGACCATTGAAGTGGAAAAGGAGAGTGCGGATGAGAATGGGTGAGTTGGCGGCGGCAAAGCAAAGCCAGAACTGCAGGCGAGGGCCGGGGCACGCCGGTGTCCTGTGCTGACCTCCGCGCATCTCGGGCCAGCCACCGCCCGGGGTGAGGGACCCCCCCCCCCCCGAGACGCTTTCAAGCCCAAATTGCCAAAGCAATCTGAGTGCGGGTTGGGCGTGGGGCGACCCCTCAGACCTTCTCTGGCTTAACTGCGATTCCTGTTTCTTTTTTCCCCCATTCAGAAACTTGAGTTCGGCTCTGGGTTCCATGTCCCCAACTACATCTTCACAGATCTTGGCTAGGAAAAGACGGAGAGGCGTGAGTCTCTTTACAGTGCTTCTTGTTTTGTTTTGTTATCATTAAAGGAAAGAACAACCTTTATTCACTTTGGAATTTACAGTCGTAATGGAAATGACCTCTATTTTGCCTGCTTTCTACAGATCATTGAGAAGCGCCGACGGGACCGGATCAATAATAGTTTGTCTGAGCTGAGGAGGCTTGTACCCAGTGCTTTTGAGAAGCAGGTAATGGAGAAAGTAGGTAGAGCTAGAGCTCTCAGTGCTATCCACACCTTCTGAATCCTTCCCCTCAACCTCAACCTCAACCTCATCTAGAAAAATACCCATGTTGCTTGTGCCAAAGAGATGCATTCACAAACAACTAATTTTGTTTTAGTCTGTACTTTACGATTTACAAAGCATGTGTATGCATATATATTTTAAGTTGTTCCCCAAAGGCATGGCAGTCGGTACTAAATCAGTTTTTTTTTTTTTTTTTTACCTCTTTCTTCTCCAGGGATCTGCTAAGCTAGAAAAAGCCGAGATCCTGCAGATGACCGTGGATCACCTGAAAATGCTGCACACTGCAGGAGGGAAAGGTACAACTCACTAGTCCGGTAGGGACCGGGAGTATTTGGGGTAGAATGAGCAGCTGCGGCAGGCCAGGATTGGTGCAGTCGCTGCCTCATTTTTGATGTGTATGTTTGCTTTGCAGGCGGGGAGAAAACGGTGTATGGTATGTGCTGTGTGCAGTTGGTTGCCTGTCAGTGCATTTGAAAATGCACATAGGATTTTCTCCAGTGAATTAATCACCCCAACCCTATGCAGATTAAGCTAGTGCACCTTCTTTTGGAGAAATACCTATTATGGGTCAGGTTCTCCAAAGTTGTGACAGTCCTAATTAAAACCAGGTAGCTCTCACCACATTTGTTTATTGCCAGTTTGAGAAAAATCTTTATTTATAAGTATATGGTCTTAATTTCATATATTCTATTTTGCCTGCTTTCTACAGATCATTGAGAAGCGCCGACGGGACCGGATCAATAATAGTTTGTCTGAGCTGAGGAGGCTTGTACCCAGTGCTTTTGAGAAGCAGGTAATGGAGAAAGTAGGTAGAGCTAGAGCTCTCAGTGCTATCCACACCTTCTGAATCCTTCCCCTCAACCTCAACCTCAACCTCATCTAGAAAAATACCCATGTTGCTTGTGCCAAAGAGATGCATTCACAAACAACTAATTTTGTTTTAGTCTGTACTTTACGATTTACAAAGCATGTGTATGCATATATATTTTAAGTTGTTCCCCAAAGGCATGGCAGTCGGTACTAAATCAGTTTTTTTTTTTTTTTTTTACCTCTTTCTTCTCCAGGGATCTGCTAAGCTAGAAAAAGCCGAGATCCTGCAGATGACCGTGGATCACCTGAAAATGCTGCACACTGCAGGAGGGAAAGGTACAACTCACTAGTCCGGTAGGGACCGGGAGTATTTGGGGTAGAATGAGCAGCTGCGGCAGGCCAGGATTGGTGCAGTCGCTGCCTCATTTTTGATGTGTATGTTTGCTTTGCAGGCGGGGAGAAAACGGTGTATGGTATGTGCTGTGTGCAGTTGGTTGCCTGTCAGTGCATTTGAAAATGCACATAGGATTTTCTCCAGTGAATTAATCACCCCAACCCTATGCAGATTAAGCTAGTGCACCTTCTTTTGGAGAAATACCTATTATGGGTCAGGTTCTCCAAAGTTGTGACAGTCCTAATTAAAACCAGGTAGCTCTCACCACATTTGTTTATTGCCAGTTTGAGAAAAATCTTTATTTATAAGTATATGGTCTTAATTTCATATACTCGATTTAAAAAAAATGAGCTGCCACAATGAGCTGCCACGTAACTTTTGAGGGAAGAAACCTGTTGTGGTTAATTATAGAAAACCTAACAGAAGGTGGGAGACTAAGGTCTGCGGGTCTGTCTCCAGCCGGGAAATGCTTTACACAGGGCCAAGTGCCTAAAAGCTCCATGATGATAACTTACATCTGTGTGTCTAATGAATTTCACTGCTCTGTGGTTTCTGTGTCCTTGATGTATTTTTTGTTGTTGTTGAGGGAAAACATTAAAGGAATGAATATAGTTTCATCTGCTGGTAGGGTATAATTCCAGTTTCTGCTCAGCAGCTTCTAATTGGACTTTGAACTTGCATTAGCAAACACATACTTCTCATGTTGATTAATGCAAAGGCTTTGGTCGCTCCAAAATATTTGAACTTTGAGAAGAACCCGTGAATGCCGTTTTTAAGGTTGTAGGTATTTGCCAGGAAGGGCTGTCTTTGGGATTGGAGAAATGTGGGCAATGAGCAAAGCCCTGAGGATTTTCTTTTGTTCTTTTCCTCAGGCTATTTTGACGCACACGCCCTTGCTATGGACTATCGGAGTTTGGGATTTCGGGAGTGCCTGGCAGAGGTTGCCCGTTACCTGAGCATCATTGAAGGACTAGATGCCTCTGACCCGCTGCGAGTTCGACTGGTATCGCATCTTAACAACTATGCCTCCCAGCGGGAAGCGGCCAGCGGCTCCCACGCAGGCCTTGGACACATTCCTTGGGGGAGCGCCTTCGGACATCACCCGCACGTCGCGCATCCCCTGTTGCTGCAGCAAAACGGCCACGGGAACACTGGCAGCACCTCGCCTACGGAACCACACCATCAGGGAAGGTTGGCCTCGGCACATCCGGAGGCGCCCGCCTTGCGAGCGCCCCCTAGTGGCGGCCTTGGACCGGTGCTCCCAGTGGTCACCTCCGCCTCCAAACTCTCGCCGCCTCTGCTCTCCTCAGTGGCCTCCCTGTCGGCCTTCCCCTTCTCTTTTGGCTCCTTCCACTTACTCTCCCCCAATGCATTGAGCCCTTCGGCACCCACGCAGGCAGCAAACCTTGGCAAACCCTATAGACCTTGGGGGACAGAGATTGGAGCTTTTTAAAGAACTGATGCTGTAGTATGAGGGAGGGGAAAGCTTAAAATTGGGCTGTTGCCAACATCACCTTAAAGTCGCTAGTAAAAGTAAAAAGGATAAAGGTACACTTTCAGTTACATTTTGTTGAAAGACTAAAGGTTTGTTGGTTTATCTTCTTTTAATTTTTTTTCCTATCATGTCATGTATTAGCAGTTTTTAAAGACTAGTGATGTTTTTGTTCCACACGTTAAATTGAAATAGTATAAACCAACACTTGGTGGTAGGTTTGTGCTGTGCCTAATTACTTTGTAAACCCATTTTGTTAGAATGAGTCCATTGTTTGCCTCAAAAGTTTTGGGAATTTTAACATTTAGTAGTTTTGGTCTCATTTCCTCCATGTATAGTTGCAGTCTGTTTTTAGAATTTTTCAAACCACTAAGCTCAGCATTAACATGATGCTATTTGTTAATTTAGACAATTAAGGTGTTGTATAAATCATATTCTCTGGGGGTGGGGTGGGGACTATATTAAATTTTATATTTTTGAACGAAGCGTTGACAAATCAGATGATCAGCTTTATCCAAGAAAGACGACTAGTTAATTCTCTGCCTCTTATAGCAGTAAGGTGAGTGTACGAACCGTCCGGGGCCCTTAGTCCCTGTGACTGACTGCTGTCATTGGCCAGGACCTGCAGTTGTGGTTTGGTTAGGAGGGAGCCACTTATAAGTACATCCCATTTGGAGCTGGTGTTGTGGAGACTGAAGATGACTGCCTAGAATATGCATGCAGTTACCAGCCATGAATTTTTAATCTCATGGATCTCAGATTCACGAGTGTTAACGTGGATAAGTGATCATGGTGTGCAAGTGGTGGATTGAATGGTCCAGGGGAACCTGTTAAATGCATAACCTAATTTTTCCAGAAACTGCCATATTTTTCTTTAAACTGGAAATTTTTATATTATGTTCTTTTTGATGCGTGGAACTGTGATTGTTGAGATATTTAAAAGGGCTCTTCTGCCTTCTTGTTGGTTTATTTAATTTGATTTGGGCTATAAAAGCATTATTTTACAGGTTTGTTCCTTTAGTAGGTGCAGTTTAAAGGATCTCCACTGAACTGGGTTTGACCTTTGTTGTACTGATGTGTTGTGACTAAATAAAAAAGAAAGAACAAACTATTTTGCTGTATATGTCTTATATACCTTGGCTTTTCCCTCTGTTGGCTAAGAAAAGATAAATTACCTCTTGTTTTCATTTTGCCTGACCATCAGTTTCTTGTGTGTAACAATTTCATTATTCTTGGAATTCTAAACTGTGTAAATTTGTGCTATTGCATAAGGTGACTTCATTATGGTGCAGACCTGGCCTGACGGAGCAGACACAGCCTGAGGCTGTTGTGCCAGATGACCTGACCCTAAACTGGCCATCTATGGACTAGCAAACCTCAAGTCAGACTGGGAGTTAGTTACAGGGTGGGAAAGAACTCTGATGAAATCTTTTAAAACTGTGTTGACTGTTGGACAAATATTTTCTGAGAGCATCTACTTTGTGCTCATGAGAGAACAGAAAATGCATTTGATTTTTGTTTTTTTAACTGCGAAACAAGGAAAGTCATATGTTGCTCTCTCTGAGTCCCTGTGCAGGGGCTTGGGAATCTGTGGCACAATGAGCAGTGGCAGGCTGTAATTCTGCACCTGCACAGCTCCTGGAGTCTTTCCTCATCTTGTTTCCATGGACTCTGTTTAACCCTTTAGTTGCATTTGACTCTGAGCTGTGTAGTGAGGAAGCCGACATATGCTTTATGTTAGAACAAAGCACTACCAGAACAGAGGCAGTAATCCGGGCCCCAGGGGAGAGGAGTGCCTTCCCATTGCCTTAAAAGTAGTTCTGCCAATTGAGGAGTGCCTTCTAGCTAGGAAGGAGTTTGCCTTGATTCTGAAGGTGGGAGGGAAAGAGAGGGAGAAAACCCACCTTTGCACATCACAGAATAGAGCCTGCCTTTTCTGTGCCCAACTTCGGAGCTCCTCCTCTACCCTCTGATTAAAAAACAAAGACAGGAAGGCAAAGTGAAGAAGTTTGAACTTTGAACTTGAGCAGCTACTTCTGGGTCCCTATGAAGAATGGAGACTGCAGCATTGTTGTGATTGTGCGGTTCAAATACTAGCTCCCACTCCACCTTTCTCTGTGCAGCCTCACATGTGGGTCCCTCCCATGATGCACAGCTCTGATCTTGGTGCTGCTGTGCCACACAGATGCTCTGTCATAAGTCTGTGATGGGAAGTGTTATGATAATTTCTGCCAAGTGTCAGTTTAATTTTAGCAACCCTGATTTCAAATGGCATTACAGCATTACTGAACAGCATTGTGCTTAGACTGCCTTAGACTTACTGGTACCTGGGTTTAGATGGCTGCTAATGTGGTAAGAAAGAAAGCCTCACATCTTGCTGGCTCTCCTGAAAGAGCAGTGGAATTGTAAAACGTGGCATATTCCACGTGTCACATCAATGACACCTGTATCACTATCTGGTTAGTACCTTTTTATTTTTTTGGAAAGGGTATGTGTGTGGGGGGGGTCATTTTCAAAATTACCTAGTTTTCCCCAGAAATTTTTTGGGAAATGTCTTCAAGGTGATAGGTTTCTGGAAATGGTGCAGGTGGAGTCGGAGCTTCATGGGAATCAGGATGGAATTCTGATGATAAGCCGATTCATTTCTATTCTGAATTGATGCAATAAGAAAAAAAATTAACATCAGGGTCATTAATACTAGCACAATTTCATATGTTATACATTTGTAATACTTCTGTCCATGTAAACAAAAACTTTTTAGATGGCCTGTAAATTTACTTCATGAGAAAAATGGTATCACTGGTCATAAAGAATGTTGAAGCCTCAATAATTACCCATTAATTTTCATTACATGCATTACCACGAATTAGTGAAGTAAAAGATAGGTGGGCATAATTCTTGCATTTAAAAGCCTCTAAAAGTAGAATTCAAGAAACATCATTTCTAATTTATTCAGTATAGTTAAATTAGGATGTGATTTTTATTCAGCTTTTCTTTGCCCCACTCTTACTATAGTCATGATATTTTAAATACAGATTACTGATATGTAAAACCCCTCAGGAAATGTTAAGATACCCTAATTTTACTCTTCTCCAGCCCTTCTGGTCTCAGCTTTGATGTTTTCTGTAGTTTCCAGTGATGATTTATAATTAAAATAACTTCAGAGATAGTATCATCTGAAACACAGCTTTAAATGTGGCCCAATTTCTTTCACAACCAGAACTCCAGGGAATGGGATGTCTTGAGAAGAGAATACAAATTCTGGTTCCTACTCTGTTTTTTACCTTAATTGAGTGACTTTGTGAAAGTCATTCAAAATTCTCTGGACCCAGCTTTCCTGATGGGTCAAAGTGGTTGGAAGGGTCAGGGTGCATACTCCCAGGGCAGGCAGTGATGGGGAGGAACGCAGGGCTGTCGGCCCATGGATGCCCCCAGGGAGCAACCATGCTTCCACCACCTTCTCTCCAAAGGTCTGTCTGAAGGGCCACGTCAATTGTTTCTACAGAGGCATTTTAATCCAGCGTTGTCAGAACCTTCAAGTTTTCAAGAGCATCTCCAATTTTAGATTTTTTTTTATGTGAAACTATCCAATTTACATAGAGTGAGTAACTAATTCACCAAAACAGGTCTGTCAGCAAGACTGGGCCAGTGGGCAGCAGCCATCCCTTAGCTTCTAGGGCTCCAATCTGAATGGCAAAGTATCTTTGTCATGCATGGCCTGTGAATATGCTTAATGGATAAATACATAAGGTAAGATAAACAATACAGTAATTAGACAGCTGTCGGTGGTATCCTGTCAAGCTAATGGGCAGAAGTTTTTTTAAGTCACTTCTGGGTTGGCAAATTTCCTTAAGCAGAGAGAAGCTAAAATCATTCTTTTTGTTCTAAGTCTGAACACTTCACCGGAATCTCTTCTGAAGGTGCTCCCAACGTGGTCCTTGTTTTCCCTGTACCAGGGACGAAGTTGGGGTCTCAGCCTGGTGGCCTTAGATGAAAGAGCAAGTGTGCAGCTTGCTCATGACTCAGCACACTGAAGTCCTAAGAGGCGCCATCTGATTTCAGGAAGTAAGAGGTCCCAGCAAAGAGCAAGCTGTTTTGAACCTCAACTTGAAATACAATGCCTGCCTTGATCTTGATGGGCTGCAGAGCTTCTCACTCAGGAGCTTTAATGTTCAGCTCTGTGGTCGGGGTGGGGAGAGGGGAGAAAGAAGCAAAGGAAAGAGAATCCCAGGCCTTTCTTTACATATTGACACACATTTGCAGCAGAAATGTTTCCCCAGGCTCACAGGTCCCACAGAAATCCGAGGTAAAAAGCTGTCTAGAGAGACAGGGAACATAGGTAGATTTCTGGATTTTGTGTTGGCAGGCCGAAATATTATGCTTCTTTAGAGTTATGTTGTAAAATTTCCCAGGATATTTACTATTATATTTATATGTTTCATTGAGTGCTTTATGTTGTTTTGACATATACTCAAGTTAAAAGACCATGCCTAAATTTGAAAACTCTTAATCATTCGTAGGTGGTCTATGGCTTGATCTAACAAAAAGACTTAAAAGCATCATATTAGGCAGAAAGAGATTGACTGTTAACCCTGTGGGTGCTGATTACTAACAATTTTCTGTACTTTTTTTTTTTTATATCTCCCCCGGGGCATGGTTTGTTTCTAGTGTGTAGGAATGTTCCATAAATGTGGAATTGAACCATAAGATTAAAGAATGACATATTTGAACCTTTAATCATCCTTTTCAACCTCATTTCCTATCACTCACCCCTCCATCACTCTGCTCCAGCCACACTTAACACTGTTGTCGCTGGAGCACTCCAGCTCTGCTCTCACCTCCAGGCTTTTGCCATGGCTTTTCCCTCTTCCTGGAATGTGCTTGCCCAGCTATCTCCTAGCCTGCTGTGGTCTGTAATCTACTTGGGGCTCTGCTCAAAGGTCACCTTCCCCATGTATCTTCCCTTAAAACCAGATTTAGAACAGGCACCCCATGCTTACCCCCGATCTCCCCTCCTGCCACTCCCTAGCTCCCTCTCTCTTTAGTTTTTCACTATGGTACTTAGCATTATCTGACAGAACATAGATCTCATCGATTATCTGTTAACTGTCTCTATTACCTGGTTTGTTCACTTCTATAGCTCCGTCAGTTAAACAGTGCCTGACATATAGGAGGCACCCAATAAGTATTTGTTGAATAAATTAGTTGAATAAAATTCACTCCTTTGTTACCATTAAGAGGCAGAGCAAAACAGATCCAAACAGATATGTCCCTATCCCCCTACCTACCCCTCAATCTTTATTTTAAAAACTACCAGGGAAGGTTAATTTCACATTTCAGTTCAATATTTTCTCTTCATTACTATAAAATTCTGCTTAAAAAAATATCTAACTTGAATATTATTCTTTAAGTTTATTTCTTTTTTTGCATGTGCTTAGTAGGGATTGAGGGACATTAGTCCCCTTTTTCTATATTCTCCGCAAAAGACCATACTTGCCCCTGAAGGTGTTCAGTTATTAATCCAGCTTTACCCCCATCATTAATTCAGCTTCATTCCCACCTTCTTTCCAGGTGAGGGTTTCAGCATTTTTTATCTTGCCACATTTTCATCCAACCTTTTGGGGTGGGGATTATAAATGCAGTGTCTACATTTATAGAAATGGAGAGAATAGAAGTTCTACTGTGGGAACAGACTATGTCCACCCAAGGTCACAGGAAAGCAACACAGATAAAATATTTAGACTAAATGTGGCAAGGGTAAAGGAAGTAAGTTATCACAGTCTGGGATGAGTCAGATGCTAAAGGACCAAGAGGCAGATTATTATTTTGACTATGCAAAAAGTGGGTCTTATGTAAGTGGAGAGCAGTGGTTATCAGGGGCAGACCCACATGCTCACACAGGGCAGAGACATCATAGGGTTGTGAAGGGGAGGAGGCCTTTATTCTTGACCTTGATTCTGACAATCAAGCAGCAATGGGTTACCTGTAGCAGGATTTTGAAGGCAGCTTTTTCTGCTGAGGGCACAGACACAGTAAGTACTTCACATTCTTATGACCCAATACCCACTTGGGACCCAATTCCTCCTTCAGGGTCTTTATTAGGAG